CACTGGTGCATTGTGGGTATTTTCTAATTGTGTGTTTCTGGACATTTATTAGATTTTGTCCCATAATTCCTGTGTTTTTCAGTACACCAGCCCCTTGATTCTCTCGATTTTCTTTTTTTAAATCTCTAAATTAAGTTTTTTTTTTTTTATTTGATTTGATCTCAAACAACTGCTGGCCAATTTATGTACATGTATAAATATATCAATATACATATAATTTTGTACACATTTTTGTATGTATAAAGCTACATTTATGGTGTATGTGTCCCAGAGGACATTTAGCGCAGGTCTGAGATATACAGAAATCTATAATCATGTCAAACGATTACGCTCTGATTTGTTTAGATGCACGTCACGCTGGCTGCTGGTCTTATAGTTGCTAAACGTTCTGCCTTGGTCTCAGTCTCATGAACATCGGCTGTGACTTAAAGCGGCATGTAAGCCCATCCCTGAAGCCCCGCCTCTCTCCAGACATAAGCCCCTCCCTCTTCTGACAACGCTCATCAAATATTTGCCACATTTTGGAGCTTTGTAGTAGTTTTTTAAAATGTGTGTGTGTGCGTGTTGTATATGACATGATGTACTTGATGGAAATGTATTTTGTTTGTGTTGATAATCTGCTATTAAAACTTCATTTAAAGACGATTGGAAGAAAAAAAAAGGTTAAAACATTTACTATTCATGTATGAGAGATTGAGCAGTAAGGAAGTATTTATGGTGCCTTACAAATAAAAGATTCATTGGACCTTTATTTCTGCTTCAGTCTGTTTTATTTTTTTTATTTTATTTTTTTTAAAAATCATTGCTCATTTTGTTTTTAAAAATGTTATATATTTTTGTAATCCAGCACGAATGCATTAAATTGGTCAAAAGTGACAGTAAAGCCATTCAGGTTACAACAAAAAAGGCTGTTTGTTTGAACTTCCTGTTCATAAACTAATAGTTAAATAAATGCATCACGGTTTCCACAAAAATATGAAGCAGCTGATCTGTTTTAAACATTGATTAAAAAAAAAATAATGTTGAGCATCAAATCATCATATAAGAAATATTTCTGAAGGATCATGTGACACTGACGACTAAATAAATTACATTATAGAATATATTTATTCAGAAAACGTTTTTTTTTTTACAGTTATAAGTTGTTAAAGTATTTCACAATATTACAGTTTTCATCATATTTTTGATTAAATAAATGCAGCTTTGGTGAGCAGAAGAGACTTCTTTCAAAAACATTTAAAAAATGTTTCTGACCCCAATTTTTTAACTGCGGTGTATATGGACCTTTTATTTCTAGAAGCTATTTAAAGGTTAATAATAACCATATTTTAGTGTGACTATAACGGCTCGTCCAGGCCCAGAACTGTCCGTTTATTATGTTCTTGAACGCTTTTGGTCGCTGTATATGCTTTTTTTTTGTATTGAAAAGGGTCGTGTGAACACTGGGAAAACGCCATGGAAGGAAGCCCGTCCATTTGGAGCAACACGAGGGAGTAAATAAGTGTAAATGCTGCAGTTTCTCTTCTGTCCAGCAGATGTTGCTGTTGCTTTAAAGTAACGCTGTTCACGGAGCGCTGATGTTGCAGAAATATGAAGTTGAGTATCAACATTACGATTATTAAACTGTGTATTTGTTTACAGTCGAGATTGCTTACGAAGCAGAACCCGCTAGTGTTTGTGAATGTTATGATGAGCAGTCTGTGTCCAAAATTGAGCTGAAATTACAGTCATTTTCATCAGGGAACGCTTTAGAAACACACTTCATCAGTTCTGTCTGTCAGTCATTACACCACATCACATATCTTTCTGCATTAAAATTTCTTTGTGACTTCAGAAGTTTATTATTATTATTATTATTAATTAAAAAATGTAGCTCTAAATAGGATTTTTTTTTTTCATTGAAATTGTGCTTGGATGTCTAGTGTTCTGGGCTGTTCTTTTTATGTTTGGGTTTTAGTTAGTTCCTGCGGTGCGAACATGCCAAAATATTCCACCAATAGTTCTAGGAACTATGAAAAGGTTCCTCCGGTGCGAAAGCCCCTGTAGTGTCGGCCCAGATCCGGGCCACATCCGGCACATGTGGATTCCACTCGTGCCAGATGTGGGCCGACAGTGTGGTTCTGCATGCATCTGATGGTATCTGGGTGTTGCCAAGTGTAAAGCAGGATTTGTTGGTGACCTTTCCTTTCTTTGACTCCAGGGATCTGGATTTTGCCGGTTTGAAGCTCATGCGCGTGAAGGTCATCCGCTCTTCAAGGCCCTTCGGGACGCTTCAGACGCTGGCGTCACTGTCATCCATTCAAGCCCTGATCGCTGGCTGCCGAACTTTGAGATGGTACTTTGAGACTTTACACTTTTTTTAAACTAATAAAATGACAAAAAGCACTTAACGAAATTACTAAAAGAAATGAAACTAAAATATAAGTGAATTTAAAATATTTATCAAAATAAAAAAACTGCATACGGAAGCATTAAAGCGCAGTATGATTGATATGATCTGTGTAGATCTATACACATGGTTATAATAATCATAACAATAGTTTTATATTTCACTCTAAAAAATGCTGGGTTGATTTAACCCAATTTTGGGTAAAATATGGACAAACTCAGCCATTGGGTTACATTTTTAAATTACATTTTTAACCCAATGGCTGGGTTGGGTTTGTCCATATTTTACCCAAAATTGGGTTAAAACAACCCAGCATTTTTTAGAGTGTTGCATTTAGGTGGCGCAGTGTTCTGAGTTCACTCTAAGAAATGCTGGGTTGTTTTAACCCATGTTTGGGTCAAATATGATAATAATAATTCATTACATTTCTAATCATTACATTACAATCTCCTCAACCACAATATGGACGAACGCAACGTGGTTTAATTTTTTTAATTAAACTTTTGAACCCAATGGCTGGGTTTGTCCATATTTGACACAAACATGGGTTAAAACAGCCCAGCATTTTTTAGGTCTGCAGAATGAGGAATCAATCCAGCAGTTTTTCTCTCTTTCAGTGCAGAATATGTGCACTTCTGTCTCGCTGTTCATTTCCTCTGGTTGATGGAGATGTGGCCTGTGGCAGAGCGCTCTGACATGATATTTCATTAAACTCTGTCAGGCAGTGTGTGTGTGTGTGTGTGTGTGTGTGTGCTGTCACTGTCTCTCACTTTTCATTCCTCGGCCTGTCGCCACCCTCCTATCCCTTTTTTGACTGTCACACTGCATCACCACTCCTCCTCTTCCTCCTCCTCCTCTTCCTCTGTGGGCTCCTCCACCTTTCATCTTTTCCCTTCCGTCTTTATATATCATGATGGAGATACAGGGTTAGTGTATGGTTATGAACATTATACATGTCACTTCCTGCAGGATGATGTAATGAGCTGGCCTTTGTTAAAAAAAAAAAACACTGAGAATTATAGGCCTAATGAGGACAAAATAATTAAAACAATATTCCCAAGAAAATATTTTTGTACTTGACAGCCTTTCATTGTAAAAATTACATCCACTCAAAATATTTTTTTAAGGAAAATCCTTATTCTAATTTAAAATGAATATATGTTTTATTGTTTTGTGATGATGTTAAATAATTTTAATGATTTGCCTTTTAAGTGTGTTGTGATTTTGTGATAAAAGAAAACGAATTATAATTTTTATATTTTATCCAATATATTAATGTATGTATGATGGGTAGGCTAAATTATAATTGACAGCCTATATGATATGGCCATGACATTTTTTTTTACAGTCTATGGATATGGCATACGTCATGATGAGTTTGGTCCGTTCATGTCATCTCTTGCGTTCTCCATTTCTAAATATTGTGCGTGTGTTGGTTTGCGCATAGTACCTCTTTTGTACAGATTGTCAGTGGGGATCATTGTCTCATTATCTCATAAATATTCACATATGTCAACTCGCCTCTTTCACGCTTATTGGCTTTCCGTTTTCATTATGCGGCGATTTAGAACATAAATGACTTCATTACCCATAATGCAACACTGTCTGGCTACTCAGACGCGCCGGCGCTGGAGTCCTGCTTCACGATTGGTTTAGATCAAAGTGTATGTCATGACACAACGTGGGCATTTGGGTAACTTATTGGCCTTGACTTTAATCTTGTCAGCCAATCAGGGTCCAGTCTTGAAAAGAGACGTTAAGGCTGCAATGTTTGTACATTATGTTCTGTGTTATGATAATAGCGGCTTGCGGCTTTGTTCTCATTCAAAACAGTATTTCATTTTAAACAGATGAGTTTATTATACTATAATATATGTCAGTGTAATTTGGTTTCAACTGTTTTCTCTCTTGCGATTGTTACATTTTATCCTATTTTATGTAATCTTCATAAACAATGTAGGCGACCTTAAAAGCAGCGTTTGCTGTGCGCACTTTAAGTGAATCTCTCACAGACAGCACCGCTGAGAAGAGATGCTGTGCGTTTTCTTTTCTCTTCTGATCTTTCACCCCTTTCTCTCTCCGACTCAGTCTCTCATATATTTATTTTAGATTTTCAGAAATCCAATACACCCCTCGCTGACTGCAGTTTTGCTCGTTGACAGACGATTCGCGAACGAATCATTCTTTTGAACCGGTTCTTTTTAGTGATTGATTCGGCCGAGCCGATTCGCAGAACTTTCGAATATTGACTAATCTCCCTCAGAATTTCACCATGCTAAAAACAACAACAACAAATCTTCGAAAAATTCACATTACAAACAACATGTGATTAAATTGCGTGTAAAATGTGGACTGTGATTAGTTTACAATATTTAAAGATACGTTCACGGTTCATAACATAGCCTAAAACAAGATTTAATTCGGTTAATTTATTTCTATGTGGACAATGGTGACACGTAATCCAAACCCAGTAGTAAAATAAGCATATTATTTTGGCGGAAACCGTGATTACTGTAGCCTACATTTTAAGGAGACTCTAAAGAATCAGTGAATCGTTCAAACGAGCCGATTCGCTTAGATTTTTCAGACCGCGTGTGCGCGCAGGTCAGCGCTGTTTATGTTCCTCTGATCTCCGACGCGCGCTCTGCGTGCACGCGCCCCGCACACAGGATGATCTTGTTACATTGTAGCGCGCCGTAACTGTGCGTCATAAAGAGGAAGAGCGTTCGATCCAGAAGAATAGAACGTTTTTAAACTTTTCATCGGATTCCTCGAAATTCTAAGGTTACTCGAGAACGACTGGAGCGCGGAGAGCGGAGGAGAGATCCGGGTTTACGCAGCGCGAGCGCACGGAGGGGGGGTTCGGTGTCGGACGGTGATTCCGGATTCGATCCTGACCATCGAGATCCCCGTGGATGACCTCCAGAACCATGTATCCGCACGGAAGACCCCAGGTACCGCAGCCTAACGAGCTCCTTTACAGATCGTTTTAGCGGATCGCTGAGTTGCGCGAGGGGGCCCGTTTTAACGTGCATTATGTTTAGTGTTAGGGTCAGGGTTAAGGTCACGATCAAGAGTTAATTACAGCGTTATGGGTTCAGTTATTGCAGTCATTACAGAGCCTATAAATAAGCCTATTATTAAATATAGCCTACTTACATGAATCTGCAACCAGAGTTTGATTTTACTTTTACTATTTTTAATTATTTATTTACTGATATTTTGTATCACACACATATATTTATATATACTCTACTTGTTTTTTATGAAACTCTTCATTACTTTCAAGAAACCTGTAGACTAGAGGAACCACAACTCAGTTGGGGAAGCACAAATATTCATTTGAACAGGTGTAATTCAGCCAGTATTGTATATTCAACAGTCAGGGCAATAAAACTCATTGGATTGAGAGAGAGAGATGGGCAGATGTGGATGTGCAGAAGAAGAGAAATGATTCAAGGCAGAAATGCTGCAGAATGACATTTGTGAGTTTGCTGTGAGTGGAGGAGGGATGGACAGATGGATGGACGGGTGAATGAATGGTTTGTTCGAGTTATTGCTGCATGTTGCTACATATGGATCCAGGCCACCCCACTCTCTGCTGCAAATGTCATGTTCCATCATCATCACTGGGCAACACGATACCACACACACACACACACTGAGTTGCACTTCAAAGCTACCTTTGCTATGATGGCATGTTATTACAGGCCCGTGGAGACCCAGTGTGGTAGCTTGCATTAGCTTTTAAAGTGAGGAGTTTTAGTGTGCATAATGAATGACCTTTAGAGAGTGCAAATGTGGTTAGGTTTGTTAGCGTGTGCTGTTTCTATCCGTGTGTTTAGCGGACAGTATGTGGTAATATATAATGACTGTGTGTGCTGTTGCTACAGCGGATGCCTGCTGGGCCGCTGATGATCTGTCTGCTCTCGAAACACTGTCAGATCTGATACAGGACGCGCACGAACGCTTTACACCTGGGATTAACATCTGCCACTGTGATCCCATCCACTGTTATTTTAGTATCATTGAGATACTATTATGGTTTTTATAAATATACGGAATTGATCTGTTTCCAATTTTTCTCTGATCAAATGATTGATGCAGGACTTTGCTGTTGGTAGTTACTCTTGAGTTTTTTACGGTAGGGTATGCAATTTCTGAGAGGCTAGCAATAGCGAGCTAGCTTTGAAAGCATGAGATCCCACCCTCCCTTCAGACCGTCTCAAACGCCACGAATCCTCTGTAACGGAGACGTGTTTGTCTCATGTCGCAAAGCACATAACATTACAAGAGAATGCTCTGCGCTGCGCTATGAAACCCATTCATTTCAATGGCTTGCGCTGCGCAAAGGGGTTTTGTTGCCATTGACGTCCTTGCGCACAAGCGAGGCCAATAGAAACAAATAGTATAAAAGAACAAGAGGCGAAACTCTGATGCTTTTTCGGTAACAGCCTCCTAGGTGGCGCTTCGGTAGCGCGGCCGCCATTTTGGGCTGAAGATTCCAACTGGAGTTAACTGGACAACAGCACAGATAACAGTTTTTTAGGTCGTTTTTTTCTTGCATTAGTGAGTATTTCCATTGTATGCAACTTTACACATTTACTACTATTATTAGTTACCAACTCCACTAGGCCTGAAATATATTTTGTACGTTTTAATCCCCTGGATCATGCTACAAACATGATGATCATTGATGCGCTGTGTCCGTTTTCCTATAACTTTAATTTGGACAGTGGCTGTGTTTTTTTTGTTTACATAGACTTGCTTTAATGGTCATTAATATAAGATAGTATACTGCAAAAAAAAACAAAAAAAAAAACATTTACTGTAAAGCTGTTCTACTGCTGTTATATATTGTCCGACATTTACATTTTAGTACAACATTTATTTGCTGAATTCATTTATTTCATTGATAACTTATTTTTGTATGTAACGTTATGTGTACCTCCCGGGAAACGGTCTAATGTTATTATAACTTTATAAACTGATATCACTTTATTCTTACCTGTCACACTAATATAATTGATTAAATCCTTGAACTTCCCTGTCTCAAGTTATGAGGGGGCGGGGTAAGCCAACGCCGTAAGGCCAATTTATACTTCTGCGTCGAGGGTACGCCGTAGTGTACGGTGTTGGCTACGCACGTAGGCGACGGCGTTGTGAGCTTTTACACTTCTGCGTTCAGGTCTTGGTTGCTCTGCAGTACTGCCCCGAAACGCTAGTTGGCGGCGGAGGGTTTATGTTCCACTGTGTTTAGATTCATCGCGGCTAGGTTACTACAAGCAATGGCGACTGAAAGAGAACCGATCATCTTGGAGTTGGAGCTTATTGAGGTGGAAAAACAGTTCACTTTAGTGAAATTACTAAAACTGAAAGGCAGAAATGAGAGAAGACGTCGGAGGAGATGGTACGTGTGGAAATCATAGACAGTGGTGGAAATGCGTGAGAAAGTACGTGCGGAAAAGCGTAGGAGGAAATGCGATGCTACCAAGCCGACCAATCACCGATCTTGCGGTCCGCGTCGTTGCGACGTGTAGTTACATTTTTGAGGAGGTGCGCGTCAAGGCCAATTTATACTTCTGCGTAGGGTGCGCGCAGTAGGTACGGCGTAGCATACGCACAGACGCGTCCCATACCGCGTACCCTTCGCCGTCGCCTGACGCGCACCTCCTCAAAAATGTAACTACACGTCGCAACGACGCGTACCGCAAGATCGGTGATTGGTTGGCTTGGTAGCATCGCATTTCCTCCTACGCATTTCCACCACTGTCTATGATTTCCACAAGTTTCATCTCCTCCGAAGTCTTCTCTCATTTCTGCCTTTCAGTTTTAGTAATTTCACTAAAGTGAACTGTTTTTCCACCTTAATAAGCTCCAATTCCAACATGATCAGCTCTCTTTCACTCGTAGTAACCTAGCCGCGAGGAATCTAAACACAGTGGAACATTAAAACTCTCCGCCGCCAACTAGCGTTTCGGAGCAGTACTGCAGAGCAACCAAGACCTGAACGCAGAAGTATAAATGCTCACAACGGCGTCGCCTACGTGCGTAGCCAACGCCGTACACTACGGCGTACCCTCGACGCAGAAGTATAAATTGGCCTTCAGGCGACAGCGAAGGGTACGCGGTATGGGACGCGTCTGTGCGTATGCTGCGCCGTACCTACTGCGCGCACCCTACGCAGAAGTATAAATTGGCCTTTACGTTATTACACTGACGTATAGATCTCCGATAGAAACTCCGCCTACTTTGCTCTGGCATAGCGCTGCGTGCGCAAATCACGTTGTATCTGAAGAGCGCTGCGCATTCTGCGTCCTGTGTGAAAGGCCCATAACTCTGAGCATGAAACGCGCTGATGTGTTGTTTGCGTGAGGTATGGAAATCTATAAGTCGATCAATAGGAAAGGACATTGTATCGCATTCGAACCGAATTCAATGATTGGACGAACATTTTATGGTTCCGCTTCTTCCACAGGCGAGATATATACATATATTATAAATACATTTAGACCACTGAACTTGGTGATTGCTAACAGGATGTGAAGAGACTTTCAACCAGCATAACAAAAAATTATTCCTGAACAAATCACCTAGCTGCCTTTAAATTCATGAGTGAAAAACTGCTTATAGTCATTAGTTACAATTATAAAAAATAAAAAATATTTGAGTTTATTGAAGATATTTATATATGCAAATATTTGTATAGCCTAAGTGTATTTAAAGTGCCGGGAGACTGGATCATGCCATTGTTAATGTTTCTCAGGAAAGGACGGCACTGCTGAGCTCTTTTGCTCTTGCTGGATCTCATATTTTATTATAATCAATTTCAGGAAAATGAATGTGATTTTTCTTTCTCAGAACCGTACTGTTGCACTCTGTTTAGATTATGTTTGATCGGATCACACTCGAGTGTGATGTTAATACCAGATGTAAGCGGCCTCAGATATTCAAGCAGTGCAGTGTGAATGAGTGTGTGTATGACAGATATATGCGCATGTAAATATGTGCGAGGATGCCTGTATCTTTCACCATCTGTGCTGTGTTTACTGTTTTTACTTTGATGGTGTTAATGATCAGATCTGTCTTTAACACACTCTTTTAACACTGAGCAACATATAAAACTGCACACACACCAGATTTAACATCTCTCAAAGGGCCCTGTCAGTTTTACCTGCACTTGATAACTATGATTTGCTGGTCAATTCAGTCCCTATTTTTACGGACATTTCTAAGAGTTCAATCACACACCCATACATGGTTGTCAAAAGTACTGATATCTATGAGAGAATAGGATCGTGACGTGACGCGGATCTCTGTGCGATTTTAGGACACGGAGGTTGCGTGAGAAACGTAAAATCATAGTCAAATCTGCACTTTTGATCTATTTACTATCTTTATGTATGTTTATGTGTACGGTTAAGCACAAATATACCAAGTTAAACTCCTCGTATGTGAAAACCTGGAAATAAACCGGATCTAATTTCGGATCAGAAACTAATCTAGAACATAAAAAAAAAACGTTTCGCCTGGAAATTACATTTAATAAAAGTAAAACACTTAACTAAAATATTTCCTAAGTAAAAAATATGTATATATATCCGACGCAGAGTTGCGGTGTCGTTGTTGGTGACAGAGAGGTGTGTCTGGTTCATATGCGCCGCTCACACCACAAACACGGTAAGAAAACACGTCAGGAAATGTTGTTTGCGGTAGCTTGTTCAGCTCAGTCGACCACTCTTTGTGTTCGTGCGGATCGAGCCCGTTTATTGCCTTTATTTTCTCTTAAGTAGCGCTCCTTTGCTTCCTTGTTCAGCTTATCTCGGTAGATAACCTTGTGCTGGATCTTCGCACGATCCATGTGTGTTTGTTTACCTTAGTTACCACAACCGTGTCCTAAAGATGGCCGCCGCTACCGAGAGCACTGCGCCATGACGTAGTTTCCCATTCTCTT